GGTAAAAGTTCATTTTGGCACATTCCTATAATGAATCTGATCTTTTGAGTTGGATCAAGAAAACTAAATCAAATAAGGTACACTGGAATGCTTTTGGGTGGTGTCAATCTGACTCCTGTATCGGCCATTGTAAAAATATATATATTATTCCAAAAAATGCATTATCACATGGTTAATTAATATATAATTTTTGTTGTTTTTGAAAATTCAAGCAAAATTACTAGGCTATATTATGTCATACCGCCTAACAGCAACTGTAAACGTAGCAAAAGGATAACTGAAAAGGATGTTTCTGAAGTCTACTTGGCAGTTTGTCACTGACAAACACCCTTTTTATAGAGGAGCTTTATAGACTTTCTGCTAGAGCTGAGTCCATCCCTTAGCAATTGTTACCTCATAAAAAGAAGTAAACCCTAATGAAGCCATTACACAGTCCATATTCTCCATCAATCATGCATTTACACTGATATGCCAAAGCGTAATGTTGGTCATGTGCCATTCTCACCTTCGCCTTGGCAAAAGCAGCCCTTGAATCCACAGACAAAACCCAATTACAGATAACAATGTGCTAATCTCTGTTCCCAGGGAGCAGAGTCGGTCTGGAGAGAGATAGCGATGCCGCAAGGCTGAAACGCAGGCCAGATACAGCCTCTATGACAGACCCTGTTTTTTTTTGTCTCCTTCCTGCTAAAGTCATGCCGCCCCCCCCAAACCCCAACTCCCAACCCCCTACGACACTCACACACTGACACCTTCACCACCCTGAATCTTTTACCCTTTTACAGCTAATCTTTAAATGTAAATTCTATGACGGGAAAATAGAGGAGGCACGAGATAACAGGTTACATCTTCACTCCTGCACTGCTATCGTCTTCTGCATCGCTGAAAAGCACCTATTCAATAAGATTACCTTCTGGCAGAGTGCACGGCGACACACCGCGGCTTTGTATTCATTAAACACACATCCCCGGCTTATCTGAAATATAAAGGGGCTTGTCAGGATGGCACATTGTGTGTGTGTCTAAGGGGAAGGCAATGTGCATTAGGGCGATTACAATATCAGCCTGGTCCAGATGGAGGCAGGAAAATAAACAGAGGGGGAGAGAGAGAGCGAGAGAGAGAGACAGAGACAGAGACAGAGAGGTAGTTTAGCGTGCGCGTGAGTGACTGCGTTTGTGTGTGCGGCTGATAGATGTGAGTGAAAAATAGTATGTGTTGGAATAAGAGAGGAAGGAGATATAATAAAAGAGCAGTTAATTGGCAAGTGAATCTTGGATTAACAGAAAAAGAGAGTAAATGAGAGAGGAAGACAGATAGTGAGCAAGGCTGGGCAGACTGGACACCTGTCAGCTGGAGAAGTGGTTTATTTAGTTAACCCTGGTGTGGAACACAAAGACGGCTCAGGTTCAGATCGACCGCACTGCAAGTTCAGATACAACTTTATAGGAATCCTTCAGTTGTTTTAAGACACCACAAAAGTATTTAGTCCCGCCATTCACCCGTTTCAAGGATTTGAATAATTCCCTGAACAGAAACATCTGTCAATTATATATATAATTTTATATTTATTACATGTGTACAAATTAATATCTAATATCTAGGACAAAATTGTTTTGTAAAAAAAAGCCCTATGTAAATTCTTACACACACCCCTTGACTTTATATTGCCTTGTTATATTGTACACTCCAGCCCTACGATACAATAAAAACCAATCATCCTCTTCTCTCACATTATGCTTTCATGTTTTATGAAATCCAATAACCACACGCTAAATTCCACTCGTTGAAAAATTTGTAGCCATTATGCCCCCTATTGATCCAAAGCATGGATTCTGGGAGATGGCGGCCGCCTCAATCATTGATGGCCTGCTCTCCACAGAGACTCACGTCGAGTCAAATCTAGAGCCCTCGCAAATAAGGGGTCGTTGCCCCCCCCCCAACATCTCGCATCGCTTATTTACTGCACAAGATTGAGTGTGTCAGCAAGTCCAACAGTAGCCCTCAATGAATATAAAGAGCCTCATACATGATATAGCTCAATGGAAAGAGATGTGAGTGAAATAGCACTAATGCATATTGCGAATGTTTCCCTTAAGAGCTGAAACATTAAGAGCGCATATAATGCACTTGGCTGACGTCGTGTAACTGAACTTGATCGTTTTTCTTCTCTTTTGTTATTACAATTTTTATTCATCCAGAGAAATTGAATGGGCTGTCAGATTAGACCCTTTTGGACACATAGTTACTCGCTGCAAAATTTACGGTGCGTTTCTGTATCCTTATGCACAAAGAGCATGTTTTTGATGCAAATGTGCATGAAAGAGAAATTGTGAAGCAACGAGACATGCTGTGTATTTGTGCAAGTGTCTGGTGAGAATGTCTGCCAGTTTATGTATGGGGTTAATGACATCACTAATGAAATGAGTTACTGCAATGATAACACGCTTGGCTTTCAGCCAGAACGTCTGCTGTTCGTCATTTAAAATACATATTAAGCACTTAACTAAAAATGTTTTTACGCTGCTGTGTTTAAGGTGAATGAGAGGAGCAGAGGTTTTGCAATGCATTGTTAATTCATTTCCAGTGATGCGTGATGCATATAGATCATTAATTCAGAATATATTTATTAAATAAAATATAAGCTTGAGCCAATACGAGTAAACGTCTCCCAGACATATTTGAAAATAATGGATGAATATTTCCATATCTCTCTCACACACAGCTGTGCGCGTTGGTGTGGGCAGCCGAGTCATCTCTTCATTATGCTGTGGCAGTGTCTGGTTTCATGCGTTTGACCCGTGTGAGGCCAGTGGGAGTGGAGGAGAGGGGAACAGGTGTGAGGCAGGCAGCCTGGTGGCTGTGCAGATGGCCTCAGCCAGAGGATGTTTCTGCCTGCTAATGCTGGCTTCAAACACACACACACACACACACTGCTTATCGCTAACCGAACCCTAACCTCCAGCCACCATAGACCATGTTTGCCTTTAATCAAGGTACGTTCACTACCTGCACTGTCCCTTAGGCTCTGGTTCGAATCTCATGTTGACAGGAGCAGAGGGCAATGACATTAATGAGGGGATGACCAAATCGCCATAGGTACATAGCCTCCATTTGACCAGCACAGCCTCCATTTTCTAAATCATACATAAAATCAATATATATATAATAACATATCTTCAAGCAAGCAGTAGAGATGCCTTGAAGAAAATAAATTGTAAATCTACTTGAGATTGACAATCTATGATGAGAATGTGTCCAAGACAACTGATTGTTTAAAAAAAAAAAACAATTCTGTGATATGAGCTACACGAGCTATGAGAACGAGCATATTTCGTCAGAGAACAGGGTCTCCAAAGCCCCTCTGGTTTTTTTGTGTGTGCCTTAAATACACAAGGAGGACTGCTCCTGAGAGCAATTGAAATAAAAAAAATCTACCATTTAATTTTCATTTTAACCACCCAGCCTTAAACTTCAGAACCTCAACTCTTCAGTCAAGAGAAAGCTTAAGCGCTGAGAGTGGACTATTCACATCATGATGGATTTGAGAAGACGAGCTTGACAATTGTGACGGGAGAAGCTTTTAAAAAGCTGGCTCAGTCACAACTGATAAGCGCATCTTCTCAATCCATTGTGATGTCACAGTTGTCAATACAGCTTCTCAGTTAAACTGTGACATCACAATTGTCAGACTCATCTTGTCAAGTCGCAATTGTCAATGGATCTGTTCAATAAATGTCATATTGTTAAAGACATTTATTTAGCTTAATCTTAATTTGATGTGATCACTCATGTCAGATGCCTCTTAATCCATGGCGACATCACAAATGTAAATGGATATTCTCAAATTATATCAATATTGTTAAAGACATCTTCTCAATTGTGATGTCACAATTAAACAAAGCAGCTTCTTAATCCGGAGTGAAATCCTTATTGTCAAACGTGTTTTCACACCTGGTTTATCAACATTTTTAAATCCATTGTGGTGTCACAATTTTCTGCCTGTCTCACACCAGATGTTTAGCCCACCCGTGTTTGTAATCAAACATTTGATTTGATCAAATTTGCAGCGCTTGAGAATCTCGCGGACTAGCCAGCAACAAGCAGACGGAGGTGATATTGCATTCGCCCAACAGATGACATCTGATCGACACGTTGATGTTCAACTGTTGACTTCATATATTATGATGGATGGTAGGCTATTATTACATATGTGTAATAAAAACATTCTTATGAAAAAGAAAATGACGAAAAATAAATTTAAAAGCTGCATTAAAAGATGCATAAACCTGCGGTGTTGTGTTGGATTTGTAATAAACTCTAAGATAATGAATTTACTGAGCACGTGACATTGAAGACAGCCCATTCACGAGAAAAATAAAATAAAATCTTTATTACAATTCATAGCGACAAATAGTATGTTTTCCTTCTTACACAGTGCCTTTAGTTCAATTGACATTTTTTAAAGGCTATATCGATTTTAAGTAGCTTTACAGAAAATGCATGCGTCTACATAACAAATAGTTACAGAAAAATAATTCACAATAATAGCCTATGTCGAAACGAGAAAAAAAAAATTATTATGATATTAAATCAAAATGAAATTAATACGCGTATAAGCGTTGTTTATTTGTTGTTTACGAATAGTTAAACGCGATCAAACCCTGTTAAACGTCAATTTTGTTAAGATTTAACTAGCCTACAGCGATGAACAATTACTGCTGTGACCATTTAACTTTTTATGGGGAAATATGACAAACTGCATACCAGTTTATTATTGGTGATACCTACCTTTACGTTGCGAATAATATTAAATTAAGCAATGTGGGGAAAACGAAAGGAGTTATAGCCTAACAATATTCTGCGAAAGAAAAATAAAGTGTTTGTCATAAACCCAAATCGCACAATAAAACATCCTAATAAAATTAATAAACGTGGCTAAAGTGCAAAGAGCCTTCATGTTAGATCACGAGAGGAAAATATGAAGATACTGCACGACTTACACTGAAAAGACGTAGAAATTCCCACCATGCGTAACGGCGTTGTGAGAGAAAACAATAATTTCCTGTCCTCGACTCCGGTCGATATTTTAGTGATGTTTCTCAGTCATAAACGTGTACTTCCCAAGAAGAAGAAGAAAATGTGTCCGTCAAACTCCAGTGCACAGCTCTAGAGCCGCTCCAGTGTGCTGAAGGGCAGTTGAGCTCGAGGCTCGGATGAAGCTCAACCTGACAAGCGGATGATGCTCTGTGTGTCTCGAGCTCAACTCATTTAATGCGGCGTTTTCCTTTAACTGTCCGAGTACATTAACACGAAACACGCGAAAACGTTTGATCCTGGTGTGCGACAAGAGTCAGAAATACTTCGAGAACAGCGAAGTAGTGATAAAAACGGCTTGTTCTGAAGAGCCTCTAACGCCCACCCTGCTGCTAGGAGAAGCTGTGGTACTTTGCCTCTAGTCGGCGAGCTTCGGCGGGAAACCCAGGTGCAGCGTGGGCGGGGCTTTCTCTAGCGGTGGGCGTGGCATAACACAACAGGCATGGATGGATATAAAATGTGTACAGCAGTTTATGCGATAAACAACAGCATATAGAGCAAGACATAAGAGATTATGCGAAAAGGATGGGATAATAATGGATAAAGCTTGTTGTGGTCTCAGCTTGCTGTAACTTTAAGTAAACACCTGCCCTGTGCCTGTTTACACCTGGTATGAACATCTTAAGACAGCACTAAATAGCTATAGAAGCCATTTCCACTTCTGAGTTTTTAATTATGACAAAATTTAAACAAAGAAATAAAACCACACTGTGAGCTATTAAATTGCAATTGTGAGATATAAAGAGAAATGTAAAAATGAATTACTTCCAAAACAGAAATTTAAAGGGAGTCATGCGAGAAATGTGATATCAGACATATATAAAACCCATAGTAGGTATAAACACAATACATTTTATGTGAATTTTGCCATCTGCGCAGTACACACCTGAATTTTCTAACCAAGCGTAACAGTCTGTTACAAAAAAATCATTTATCATTCATGACTTTTGGAGAGAAATAGCGCATAAACTCACAAAAGCATGCTAACGGTACTGGTAAAAGTATACTTTGGGCTTAAATAATAAATGTTCTTTAGCACAGGTACTCTCACATGACAAATCAAAACGAAAGGAGACATAAAAACAAACGCCAATGTTTCTCAGCTGTCCACTTGTGATTGGATCACCCGAGAACACAGAGATCTTAAGTGTAAACAGGGATATGGATATCCCCAATATCCCCCCCAAGCCAAAAAAAAAAAAGAAAAAAAAAAAGATAGATTTGTAGTCAATCCATATGAGTTTTTCAATGACCCCTTCTTCAACTTTTACATTTGGTCCCCCCTCAATCTGGAATATTTGGTTACATCCTTGGGCAAACACTTCCCCGACCATCTGGACTTCATCTCGGCCCGTCGAGCCAGGAAAAGCAGAAGCGCCGTTTACAGCCCGATGATAACAGCCTCTTTCACACAGCCGTTCATGAAGTTAATGCGTCGCAGGCTCTCTCTCTCAAACCTTGCTTTTAACCCCAACCCGACCCATACGCTGTATGCTTCAAATGAGATTTGTATATTCTAGAGGGGCTTATTTTACAATAAGGTTCTGGAACAGGATTATGAAATCATTCAGGCAGCTATTAACTTGGCCACGTCAGCCCAAAATGTGATGTCTTGAACTCATGTTAACAATGTTTCCCTCTTGATTCAGTCGCTCAATTGAGGATTTTTTCATGCAATTGCAAGAATGAGCTTAATTCTGGCTATCTATTTCCTCATTTGAGTAGTTACGGTTTCTCGGAGATGATGAAAAGTCTGGAATTCTGACAAGGCTTCTCTCAGCGGAGTTTGTGATGTGCAGGTTTGAGCTTTTGTTCCTCTCAGACAAAGACAACTCAGTGAGATGCCTCTCAATTTGGGAGCCTGCGAGCCGCCGGCTGAATGAAACGCGCTTGTGTCAGATCTGCACAAACAGACTCGACCCTCTGTTATCACAAGGACTCAATCCGATCTTTTTTGTGCACAGCGTGCGTTAGAGAAAAGCTTCTTGTGGCAATCACAGGGCAACATCTTGACACCGGAGGTAAAAGGGATGGTGGTTTAGGAAACCTGCAGGGGCACGAGCGGGTGTCGTGTCCACTGATAACAGAACAAGAGACCAGGAAACACACAGTGCTGTTTTTGCTACTGGGGTTCCTGAAAGTTAGCCGCCCTGGGCGATGGGTCGCACACACACAGGATACCTCGCCTCTGTTGAGGGAAAAACATGCTGGGTCTGACACACACAAACGGCCACGCAGACTTCCTGCATTTCCCCACCTACCGGTCAGCCACCTGTGGCATGCATGCAAACACGCATCTGGCACTGTCTGGGAGCTCTCAACAGTAAAAAAAGAAAAGATGCTAATGGTGTGTGTTGACATTGTGCAACTCATTTATATTTACTGATTATTTCAGCAGACACTTATACAAATGAGGAATGCGACAAAGCAATTCAGTAACTTGTATAAAGTTACCCTCCCTTTGACCCATTATGGTTGAAACACACGTTTAGAAAGCACATCCTTCACTTTGAAATACATTTTTGATATGTTTTAGCTTATCTCAAGGGCATCCAAGATGTAGGTGTCTTTGTTTCCACAGTATTTTCAATTTTGATATTTTTATGTCAAACCGTTCTTGTCTGTCAGTCATATAATGGAGGTATATGGGGTCCTCCTCAAAGATCATGCACAGAGAAGTCCAAAGTAAACATGATTTAATGACTCGTAAATGTAAGTACACACTGATGGCCTAAGACACGAAACGAGCGGTTTGTGTGAGAAAACGAACAGTATTTATATCGTTTTACCACAGCGCGCACGCTTTCGGTCTGCTCATGTGCCGGAAAGCGGCGGAAGTGATCTCTCGCGCGGTTGTGAAAAAATTCAACGTTGTCTGTTGATGTATCGAAATCGTCTTCCATTGCGGTTTCCTGTATATCTAAATATGTTTAGATCTTCACAGTGAAAGGTAAAACTTCCAAAATCTCTGTGTAAACAATGAATGATGTACACGCGCGAGAGATCACTTCCGGGGCTTTCCGGCGCATGCGCAGACCGAAAGCGTACTCGCTCTCAGATCACTTGGACGTGGCTGTGGTTACGCGAGGTAAAACGATATAAATACTGTTCGTTTTCTCACACAAACCGCTCGTTTCGTGTCTTAGGCCCTCAATGTGTACTTACATTTACGAGTCATTAAATCATGTTTAATTTTGACTTCTCTGTGCATGCTTTTTGAGGTGAACCCCATAGAACGGTTTGACCTAAAAATATCAAAATTGAAAATACTGTGGAAACAAAGACACCTACATCTTGGATGCCCTTGAGGTAAGCTAAAACATATCAAAAATTAATTTCAAAGTTAACTATGAAGCTTATGAGAATATGAAGCTTATACTCATGAACGAAAAAACAAAAAAAAAAAACAGTTTTTTTCAGATGGCGAGCTATGACCGTAGATCTCGAGGTGAAGAGATCCTTGGACTAAGAGTTATCTTTTGAGCAACACTCTCAACGTCCAAATAAATCTGCAGCGGTCAATTGGTACAACGGTCACGCAGTACAGGTTACAAAATTTACAAAATCCCTTTTTTGCTTTTTTACTGCATTCATTAGGCATTGACAAGTCACGTGACCGAAAGATTTGTTTTTTTCATAAAAAAATTTAGACTGTCCAGGCTCTTTTGAATCTTGTTCCTGTTTAATATGGGTAAAAAGAATATGTAATTATGTCACAGTCATGCTTGTAATGTCAATGAAATCTTCATAACACTAAAACAGTACATAAAATGCATATAAATATCAGTTGTCACACTGTAACTCCCAATAACCATCCATGCGCATTTACTGTACACGACAATTGTGTTTTTCACAATGCAATACAATGAGGATTGAGAGATTAAAAAATATTTTCTCCATGTAGCATTTCTACTGTGAAATAAATAAATATATTTTTTAAAATGTAGGCATCTTCTTAGTCAATAAAGAGCACAAAACAAATAACAGAATAAAAGCAGAGTGATGAAATATTGGATTTTTTAAACGTTTAAAACTCCAGAGTGCCTCATGCAGTTTAATCCTCCATTGGAGTTGCTATTATCCTTAATGGAAAATAACGTCAATATCAACTGAAAGTGCACACATTCTGTTGTGTCCTATTTTCGCTCATTTAAAGTTTGCACAGCACTGTCCAATGTTTTGCCAAGCAAATCAAATTTATTATTGACGAGGATGCACAAGTTAACTCTACGGATACAAAATTGCTTCTGCAAAAGTCATGACTTCAAAAGACTTTTTTTTTTCTTGCAAACAGAGAGTGCAGGATCTTTACGGCAGGCCGACGGTTCACTTGGCATATTATTGAATTCAAATTCCGTCTGGCAGCTCGCTTTTCCTGAGAGTGAAGGGGAAAATCTAAGTGGGAAGAAATTGACAAGCGCTTCTACCTCTGCGATAATGTAATTAGCGAGCCGTTCTCCAGAGCTTCAACCTAATTCTCCAACCAAGTTCTTTCCAGAAGGCTGTATGTTTCACACCCTCCCTTTTCTCGACAAATCACACTTGCCTTTACATTTACTTGTTTGTTTTTTTGTTGTTTTTTTTTAATCCCTCAGACAATTCCTCAGATAAATCAACCAACAGACCTCTCTTTGTGTAAATTAAAACATGGAGGGAAGCAATACAGTCTGCTCTTGGGTCTCTTGTAAGGAAAATCAGTCCAAAGTGGCAGATATATAAGTCTCTCAATGCTGAAGTTTGGGGATCTGGGGGCGTCCTCTGGGTTCTGGGATCTGTACAGTTCTTTTTGAAGTGCACACATGTGAAAAACACATCTTAGTGCCTTCAACCAGCCCAGCTCCCATCTGCTATAAAACTTGACAGACAAGATATATGAAGTGTAATTTTGCCCTGTCAGTCACAGATGTAAAACACACATACACACTGTCTTTCTGAACCCTGCTCCTTGAAATATGTCCTCGTCGTTGTGCCATGAGAACGAAAGACAGTGTATTGATTTGCCCAGACCTGCCTTGTTTCAACAACTGGAAGTGCTCTCAGTCAAATGGGTTTCCCAAACATCAAGAGAAGCCTGTCTGTGAAGCAGACAAATGAAGAAGCCAGAAAGAGGGAGCATAAAGACACTCTGGCATACAGTACATATGGGGACACCCCATCCACACACACACACGATTTAAGGAAGCTAAGGAGGCTTTTGGAATAGTGTTTGTTTGCACCGGGAGAAGACATCAACATACAAGAATCACCTCAGTGAAACGGGATATTAAGAAATATGTTTTTAACAAGGGAGTATTTTGAGCTTGTGTTTATGGGCTTGGCTCTTAACTCACATAAACTAAAC